GCTCCGTGCCACAGGTGCACGCTGGCCCGCGCGCGCCCTCCGCGGCGTCCGCCCGGCTGCCGGCTCGGCGTGCTGGGGGCGCGGCTGCTGCGAACGAGCGCAGAGGTCCCGGGCAGACGCCCAGCAGCGCGGGGCCGGGTCCTGCGCGTACTTACCTTCTCTTAAGGACCTGCCGAGCTGTTTCCAGTGCGGCCGCCGCATTTTACCGGCCCCAGTAGTGTTGTTGATCCAGGTTTTTCATGTCCTCCCCAGCACGGGGTGTTGTCACTGTGTTTTATTTTAGCCATTCTGATAGGCTTGTGGTAGTAGCTCGTGATTTTAATTTGCATTTCCTTAATGGCCAGTGATGTAGCCTATCTTTCCATGTGCTTATTTGCTATCCCAGCATGGATATCCTTTTGGGTAAATTGTCTTCTCATGTCCTTTGTCCACGTTCTGATTGAATTTGCTTTTTTTACTATTCAGTTTTGAGAGTTCGTTATATATTCTAGGTCTAGTCCTTTGTTGGATATGTGGTTTGCAATTATTTTCTCCCATTCTGTAGTTTATCGTTTCATCATTGTAGCAAAGTCAGAGTCAATGTTTACAATCTTAATGAAGTCCAACTTCTGCTTTTGAGGTCAAGTCTAAGACCTCTGCTTAGCCCTGCATCCTGAAGATGTATTCTCCTGTGTTCGTTTTCTGAGTTGTATAGTTTTACATTTCTGTGTGTGTGTATTTTAACTTCTCATTGTACATTGCAGTTAATTTTCGCGACCCTTTACCCGTTCCTCTTAACCCCCAGCCTCTCTCCCCTCACCCCCCTACATCATATCTGTTCACTTGTCTTAACAAGTTCAAGGAATTGTTGTGATTGTTGTGTCTTCTTCCCCTGCCACCCTTTATTTGTTAGTTTTACATTTTACAATTAAGTCTTTGGTCCATTTTGAGTTATTTTTTTGCGTAAAGCATGCGACTTGGGTTGAAGTTCTCTCTTTTTTTTTTTTTTTGCCTATAGATACTCTTTGCATTTCCATATAACTTTTACAGTAGTCATGTCCATGTCTACAAGTCTTAGGTAAAACCTCCATGTCAGTTTGGGAAGAATTGACAATCTTTATTATGTTGAGTCTTCCTATCTATGAACATGGTATGTCTCAGTTTACTTATTTTCTTCGACTTCTTTCATCAGCGTTTGTGGTTTTCAGCATACAAATCTGTACATGTTTTGTTAGATTTATACTTGTTTTTTTTGGTTTTTGTTTTCTGTTTTTTTTGTGTGTGATGGTAAATGGCACTGTATTTGTAACTGCAGTGTCCACACATTCACTGCCGGGATGTGGAAGAACAGTGGATCTTTTGTGTGTTAATCTGTGTCTTGCAACCTTGCTGAACTCACTTTTTAGTTCTAGGAGTTTTTTGTTGGTTCCTTGAGATTTTCTATGTAGACATGCTTTCTGCAAATAGGGGTGATTTTTTTTTTTCTTTCCTTTCAATATATGCCTTATTTCCTTTCTCGCCTTACTGCCTGGCTAGGGTTCCAGGACTGTGTTCCGCAGGAGTGCTGTGAGAGAGGTATGCCTGCCCTGTTCCTGATGAGGGTGTTCAGTCTTTCACCCTAGGTAGGACATTTTTTTGTAGATATTCTTTAAGCCACCCTAGGCAGGTTTTTTGTAGATATTCTTTACCAAGTTGAACAAGTTCCTCTAACGTATTTTTCTGAGGGGAAAAAATTTTTACATTTTGATAGCTGTTGAAATTTGTAAAATGCTTTTTCTGTATATGTTAATATGATAGTGTGATTTTTCTTCTTCAGCCTATACTGACTGGGTTTGAAAATTGTATGTTTCAGTTCACTGATTTTTCCCTCTGTCCTTCCATTCTGCTGTTGAGCTCATCCATTGAGCTTATTTCAGTTGCATTTTTCAGTTCTAAAATTTCTGTTTGATTCTTTATATCTTTTCTGAGAGTTTCTGTTTTATTTGTTTCAAGCATGGTTGCAACAGCTCATTGAAGCATTTTTATCATAGCTGCTTTGAAATCTTTTTTTTTCTTTTTGTCTTTTTTCGTGACCGGCAACGGATCGCAACCCTCGGTGTTGCCCCCGCTCCTCTTTCAGCCAGTGAGCGGCCGGTCTGTATGTGGGATCCGAACCCTCGGCGGGAGTGCTGCCGCGCTTCCCAAGCGGCTCACTGTAGCAGTGCGCCACCGGGCCAGCCCTGAGACTCTTGAGTCTTATTTAGACCTTCTGTTTGGGCTGTGATTTGACACCACTCTGGTGAGGAGGGGGTGCTGCCTCATGACTTCTGGGCAGAGACAGAAGTCCAGGCTCCCCTCGACTGATACTGTGGTGGATGTGGCCTCATCACTGCTGGGCCCTGGTAAGTTCCTGAATGTCCACTAGGCCTCCTCTGCCAACAGCAGCAGGGCCAGGAGGGGTACCTCATCACCACCAGGTCTCCACCACCACGGGGTCTCCGCTGACTCTGGTGAGGGAGATGAAAGTCTCCACACTTTTAGGGAGGGAAAGAGGGCACCCCATTCCAGCCCGGCAAGGGTGGGAGGGAGTCTAGGCACAGGTTGGCCTTTGTTGATAGCATGGGGTAGGCTCTGTGGTGTTTGGAGCGAAGCCGTGGTTGTGTAAATGCCTTCTGCCTTGCTGGGCTACCCCTTCATTGGTCCTCTGGCTCAGGAGAGCAGGCTCTGGTTGGACTTTGTCTTCTCCCATTGGCGATTCTGGCTTCCTCAGCCGGAGGTCTGGGACACAGGAGGCAGAAAACATTCCAGGGAGCTCACCACTGTGCCGTTCTTTGGGCTGTTGGCTGGTCTGCTTTCTCTCACCTTTGGGAGTCGTCTTGTGCTTGTTTTGCATGTGGCATCCAGGGTTTTTAGTTGTGCTTGGTGGGCAGGATAGGGAAAGTACATCTACTCCATCTTCCTGGAATCAGAAGTCTGCCCCTTAGAGCCACTTTGACTCAAAGGAGAACCGCTCAGTGGTGTATGAAGGTCCTTTGTGAATTGCAAAACCTGGTTCACCTGCCCGGTATTAGTGCTTGTTATCTCCCATGACCATCTGCCATCCCCAGAGATCTCACCTCACACAAAAGTGAGCAGGTTGTGTGTGCTTACTAAAGATGTTTTGAAACAAAAACTTTTCAGATAAAGAGCCATGTAGTGCTTCCCAGCGAAAATGCATCATTTTGGCCTTTGCAGAAGATTGGCTTCATTTGCTTGAATGTGCAGGAGGGAAGTACCAGGCAGAAGTGGCGATTCTGAGTGTCTCCTGAGAGTGTGAACACTGAGATTGGAGGAGTTTCAGGAACTGGGGCTTCTTCTGTTGTTGAGGAGAAGACAAAGAGCTACACAGTCAGAGTGCTCGGCACCTAGCAGACGCAGGGGTGATACGTGGAGTGAATGAAAGATAAAGCAGGAGGGAGGCTGGCCTCCAGCTCTGCTCTGGGAACTGAGCTCAGTGAGGTGGGGGCAATCTAGGAGGGCTTTCCTGATGGTGGAGGCACAGCAGGAGGAGGACTTAGACTGTGCAATGAGAGAGCAGTATTGAGGCAGATGAGGTGCTGTGGGAGGAGTGGGGCAACTATGGGGAGCATCAGTCAGAAGGGTGGGCCAGGAAACTCACTGGCCTGGCGAAGCTTTGTTTGTCCATTCCAGGGGGGAAGCGAGATGAGGATCTGATCCTGCCCATCAACTCCTCACTGAGTGTCACTTTGCACCAGGATCAGGTGAGTGTTCACTGAAGATAAACACCAAAATGAATATTTACAAAGCTTTTGTTTAATGAGTAGTAGCTTTTAGCTGAAGGATAGGATGAGTTGGCTTAGCGAGGCATCCCCAGCAAATGCACAGTGTCTATTCCAGCTCCCAGTGTTAGGAGTGCTCAGCACACACACACACACGCATCCCAGGTCTCTTTCACCCATGCACACATGCACCCCAGGTCTCATCACACCCATGTGAACTCACACATGTGCCCCGGGGTCTCATCATGTACCTATGTGTACACATTCACAATGCTGGGGTCGCTTTTGGGAATCTGTGTCCCTTCATTGAGGACATGCTGACGCCCATGGTTCTGCTATGGGAGGTGGAAGTGTGGGCTGCTCTCTGTGTAGCAGAGACCAGGCCTGGATGCCCAGCCTGCTTCCCCACTGCCTGACCCAGCAAGGCTGCCTTCCAGCAAGGCTGTCCCTCCTAAGTGGGCAGCCCCGAGGATTGAGGGTGGGCAGGGCCTCCTCAGCAGAAGGGTATGCATGGCTGGCATCAGTCCCCAGCACTGGCCCTTGAGATGGCCTGTGTTTTCTTTCCAAGTTAAAAACCACCACGACAGTTGCCATTAGCAAGGACTTCGCTGAGGACCGGATCTGGCTGAATGGCCGAGAGGAGGATGTGGGGCAGCCGCGCCTTCAGGCCTGTTTGAGGGAGAGTGAGTGGGGGTCCACATGGGCCCTGTCCCTGCTGACACACACATGGGCTTGGGCCGTACCCTCCCGTCTGACTTCTGAGTTTTCAGGGTTATGGGAACACCTTTGAGTATTGGCTGGGTTGGGGTCTGGGGCTTTCCTGCGAAGGAGGTCTGCCTGTGCATTTTGTGGGGCAGAGGCCTGGTTTTCAGCTGTGGCCCACCGTTTCCTGACCCACTGGCAGGTGAGATGCCAGGAGCAGGTCAGGGCATGTCTGCCCATGCTGGGGTCCAGACGCTGTCTGCCCTCTCCCCGCAGTCCGCCGCCTGGCCCGGAAGCGGAGGAATACACAAGATGGTGACTCGCTCCCCTTCAGCCTCAGCCACAAGGTGCACGTCGCCTCGGTGAACAACTTCCCCACGGCTGCCGGCCTGGCCTCCTCAGCGGCGGGCTATGCCTGCCTAGGTGGGTGCCCACAGAGAGGCCCCCTGGGCCCTGTGCTGTGGCAGTGGGAGACACTTGGTGCTCTGGCAGAGTTCAGGGAGCCCATCGCTGGGTGTAGATGACTGAGCCCCCTCTGCCACACCAGGCCTCCACGTCTCTTTTGAGTCATTCAATCTCTTCCCAGAACACACATGTGAACATTAAAATCTTCCGGTTGCTGTAGTGTAGGGCCCTCTAGGTTTTAGGTGACAGAAACCTTTTCAAGCTGGATGAAGCCTAAAATAGAGATGATTTCTTGGCTCACATAACTGAGAATTAGAGGGGGGGGTGCAGCTGACTTCGGGCATGGGTGGATCCAGGCTTCCAGGAGCATCATTAGAAATCCATCTCTCTCCATCTAAATCTCAGCTCCACTTTCCTCTGTGTTGAGTCACTCTCCAGCAGGTTGTTCCCACTTGGTGGCAAATCTGGTCACCACTGTGGTGAGCTCATGCTTACTGGCCCAGCTGGGTTCATGTGCCAGTCCGTGACCCACCCTTGGTGACCAGAGGTGTGGGTGAGCCAGGCCTGGAGGTGGGGTTGCCTCTCTGCAATATGTGGACTGAGAGGGGAGGAGGCCCCAGTGCAAGGCAGGCAAAAAGCCCTCAGGGACTCTGCTCTGTCTCCTGGCACCAGACCTTGGCCAGGCCCAGCCCGCTGCTCCCTCCCCAGTGCTGCCAGCCACCCAAGCCTTGGTCCTGTCCTAAATGACCTTCCAAGCTCCTTTTCACCCCTCAGAGCCCAACTAGGGTGTCACTCCTCAGAAAAACTTTCCCAGCCCCTTGGCTGCTGCGCCCAGCCTCCTGGCCTGACTGGCTATTGGTTGTATGTGTGTCTGGCAGCGGCTCCTTGGGCCCATGGCTGCTCCAGGGCCTGCCTTTGAGGTGCTGAGTGAATGCAGGAATGGTGGGAGAGAAGGATGAGGAGCCCGTAGTACTGGTGGCCCACAAGTTTGGTCATCTCAGAATTCCCAATTTCCCGCGGGACGGGGGCCTTCTGGGCAGAGCGCGCTGGTGTTGAACACAGCCCGGGCCATCCCCCAGCCTGTCTCTGAGTCCTACTCCTTCCCTTCTCTCCCTGTGCCTGCAGCCTACACTCTGGCCCAGGTCTACGGGGTTGAGAGTGACCTCTCAGAAGTGGCTCGCCGGGGCTCGGGCAGTGCCTGCCGGAGCCTGTATGGAGGCTTTGTGGAGTGGCAGATGGGGGAACAGGCCGATGGGAAGGACAGTGTCGCCCGGCAGGTGGCCCCTGAGTTGCACTGGCCTGAACTCCGAGTCCTCATCCTTGTGGTGAGTGGCCTGGAGGCAGGGAGCATGTGGGAGTGGGTGGCTCACTGTCCGGTGGTCAGGGCCTTCCAAGAGCAAGAGGGAGGGAGGCGTCTAGTCCAGGCTTCACTTGGCTCCTGGAGTCAGTGGTGAAGAGACAGACTCCAAGCTGAGCGTTCAGAGCGGCTCCCATGTGGGGGTTGAGGGGAGCAGGGTAGGGGCTCCCTTTCTGGGATCTGGAAGATGCCAGTGCCAGGCCCACATTGCATCTGCCATGGCCAGGAGGCCATGCACCTCTGGCTGCCAGCACTGGCTGAGGGGTGGGGCTAGGGGCTGCAGCGCACAGCACCCCTGGGGACATGGCCTAGGACTGTCTCCCTGGTGCAGGTGAGCGCCGAGAAGAAGCTGACGAGCAGCACGGTGGGCATGCAGACCAGTGTGGAGACCAGCCCTCTGCTCAGGGTAAGGCGCTGAGGGTGGGGTGAGCTGCTCCCTCAAGGTGACCTGTGTGTCATGCCCTCGTTCTGTGTGCACGCCCCTCTGCCCTCGCACCTGGGCCTCAGACTTGGAGCATGTGCTTTGCAGTTCCGGGCCACTTCGGTGGTGCCGGCACGTATGGCAGAGATGATGCGCTGCATTGAGGAGCGGGACTTCCAGGGCTTCGCCCAGCTGACCATGAAGGACAGCAACCAGTTCCATGCCACCTGCCTTGACACCTTCCCGCCCATCTCCTACCTGAACGACACCTCCAGGCGCATCATCCAGCTGGTGCACTGCTTTAACACCCACCATGGGCGCACCAAGGTGACCGGGGCCTGGGCTTTGCCAGCTCTGAAACCTGGGGGTGTTGTGCGGGCCACGAGCTAAAGCTCCAGTCGGGCTTTGCCCTGCAGTGTACAAGGCTCGCTGTGGTTCCAGTTCTTTCCAACTCATTTTGTCTCTTGGTTGACACGTTGATTGTGTGACCCCCCTTGGGTCACAGCCTTACCCACCTCTTCTTGAGTTCAGGGGCAGAGGTGACGTTGTTCCACTCCGGCATAGCCCCAAGGGCGCTGACTCAGCTCTGGGAGACTGAATCCCCCAGCAGATCAGGGGGTCCGAGGGCCTCTATGTGAACAGCCAGGGTGACTGCTGCGGTGACCGCTGTGGGTTCCAGGTCGCGTACACATTTGATGCGGGCCCCAATGCTGTGATCTTCACCCTGGACGACACTGTGGCTGAGTTCGTGGCTGCCGTGAGGCACAGCTTCCCCCCCGAAGCAAATGGAGACAAGTGAGTGCAGTCCTCCCCTCCTTGTTGGGAGACAGTGCCGGGAGCACCCTCCCACGAACAGACAAACAGACGGTAGCATCTAAAGGCCATGGTGCTGAGCTGGGGAGTCCCAGCAGGAGGTGTTGATCTCGTATGCGGGGACCATGGGGAGTGTCACCGCGGTGCTGTCCCATCCTCCCTCCGTGGTCACAGAGCGGCCTGATGTGCACATGTGTGAATGGTGCCTGTGGCCCCAGCAGCTCGGACACCCCGTGTGCCCTAACCCCTTCAAATGGTTGCTTGTTTTCTTTTTTATTGGGAAGTACGGCCTGCATTCTGACATTTTAAAGAAAAGGATTCGAATAAAGCCCTGATTTCCTTCTTATTGAAACCAGTTAGAGCATGTTAGGGTATCCGAGGTTGTCACTGTTTCTGCCCTGGAGTGTGCTCCGGGGTAGGGTCCAACTGCCCTGTCCTGACATCGCAGACCCCTGCTCACCCCCTTCTTGGCACACAGCACAGGCCAGCCCCGTGATGTGATTGGCACACAGCACAGGCCAGCCCCGTGATGGTGATGGAGTGCTTGGTTTCTTCATTCAGGTGGTTGTAATGTGAGGGGACACCTCCCAGCTAGAGGCATCTGGGGAGGCAAGTGTGTGGGGACGTTTCATCTGTCCATAAATGGGGGCAGGAATGACTTCAGAGGTCAGAGGCCGAGGATATGTGCCTGCTCCATGTGGGACAGGCCCTCAGCCGCACACAGCAGGACTGCCCCGGGGCTGCGGTGCCCATCAGCAGGAGTGTCGCCTCAGCGCTTGTGGCTGGATGGCTAGTTGGCAGGTTTTTGCTGTTCTGAGGATCACAGAACTCATGGTCTTGAGTTGAGGCACTCCTTGAGCTGTATTCCCCACTGGGCTTAGAATAGCTGTGGGCCAGGAGCAAACCCAAACCTCCTGAAGAAGGTCTTCTGAGACCCTCCCCTCAGAGTGACCCCAGCCCAGGTATGTGTAATGTACACGTTACAGAAATTGACTGCTGTAGCCGTTCTACAGTGTGCAGTTAAGTGGCATTTATACACAGTGGTATGCAGCCAGCACTTCTACTTCCATGCTTTTTCACACCCCTGCAAGAAACCCACCCCTATCAGCAGCCACTGGCTGTGCCCCTCACCCCGGCCCTTGGCAAGCACTGACCTACCTGCCATCTCTGGGTATGCCCGTTCTGGACATTTCACATCCATGGAGCCATGCGAGGTGCCCCACCCTGTTTTTCCACAGGTTTCTGAAGGGGCTGCAGGTGAGGCCTGCCCCCCTGTCAGACGAGCTTAAAGCTGTGCTGGCTGTGGAGCCGACCCCCGGCAGTGTCAGATACATCATTGCCACCCAGGTGAGGCTGGGGCCCAGCCCTGAGCCCCAGTGAGGCGGGGTGCACTGCAGGTGTCTCCTATCTCTCTACAGGGGCCTGCGCAGCCCACGGGCCTTGCAGGCTCAGCCGGCTTCCTCACCACCCCCCACCCCATCAGGAAGCGGAGCGCTAGTGCTGCTAGCACCACACAGAAGCAGTGGCGTGGAAGCAGTGGTGGTGCCGTCTTTCAGTTCTTAAAGCACTGGGCGTGCTCTAGCTTCCTTCACTTGCTCTTAGAGGGGATGTTCCAGGGCTACATGTGACACGGGGCAGAGGGTGGTGGGCAGGGCTGGGGGTGTGCAGGGGAGGCGGACACAGGCTCACAGGGAGACAGGCAGCTGAAGGGCACCCTCTCACTGGCCCTGGTGGCTCCTGGGGTGGGTGCTGCGGGTCCTTGGAGATTTGTTGGGTGCAGCCTCTGCCCTCAGGGCTCATGGCTACCATGAGCTGACCAGGATCTCCGCTTCCTGTCCTGACACTGCTCACAGTGCCGATCCCAAGTCCAGGCGGCCATGCCCACCAAGCCACAGCCTCCGCCTCCCGCTCCTAGGGCCACATGCGAGGGCTGCCTGTGCCCATCACTCTGTGTCTTGCTGTCCACCCAGGTCTGGGCGATAAAGGCAGGGACTGGGGGCTGGCCCGGCAGCAGGGGGCTCAAGGCTGGCAGAGGGTGCTGGCTGAAGGGCTGGGCTTCACCATCAGGTGGTTTAGCTTCTGACCTGGACTTACCTGGAAGGGGAACAGAGTATACCTGCCCCTCCCATGTCTAACCTACCCTACTGAAGATGCCCCAGCTCCCCAAAGACATTGGAGTGGCAAGGCAGGTACACTGCTGTCACCCTGTGACCTAACACTGACTTCTCTGCTTCTCAGGTGGGGCCAGGACCTCAAATCCTGGACGACCCCAATGTTCACCTCCTGGGCCCTGACGGCCTGCCAAAGCCAGATGCTTGATGTTAGCAGGATCCCCACAACCACCTGGAGAAGGGGCCGCCTTTCTGGTACTAGGGATGCAGTGTGGCGGCTGGCCCTGCTTGTTGGGACTTGTGGGTGGCAGCATGGCTCTGGGCCTGGCTGGGCAGTATGTTGTGACTGCCTGTAGCTGCCTAGGTGGGCCGGAGTGGATCCCCCACCGAGTGCCTTACTTCTCCCCAGCCTGCACCTAGCACCTTGTGGGGAGGGGAGTCAGGATTGGGGTATAAGAGCTGGGTGACCAAGCCCATTGGGTGTGGAGCTGCAGGCATGTCCCCAGGCTGGAGGGTTCCCTGACCCTGATCTCTGGCCCACTCCCAGTGCTCCAAAACAGGAGCTTGATGGGGAGTCAGTGACCCTTGAGTGTCTGGGAACAGCCGCTGTGCAGGGAGGGGCCTCTCTGCAGCCTCAGGAGACCTCCACCAAGTTCTTGGAGGTGGGCAGCTGCCAACAGCGCCTGTGCTGAGACCTTGAACTCAGGCCACAGGATGAACTCAGGCCACAGGTGTAGATGAAGTGGTTCTTTATAAAAAGACCTACAACATCTCCCAGTGAGGGAAGGTGGTGGCTGAGTCCAGCCAGAGGTGGGGACCGTGTGGTGTGGGCACACCACTCGAGAGCTGCAGCCCTGTTAAGTAAACGGGAATAAACCCAGTGTCACCAACTCCCTGCCTCCTGTGTTTTGTTTCCTAAACCAGCATCTTGGACCCTGCCCAGGAGTCAGTGCACTGGAAAGACCTAGACAGACAGCAGCACTCACTGGGAGGGACTGGGCAGAGCCTTTCCCCATAGCTCCCCCAAGTGACACTAGACTCAGCCACCCAGGCCTTGGTCCGGAGCCTGCAGGAGCAGATCCCATGTCCACATGAGTTTTCCTGGTGGGGCTCTATTCTCTGCACCCTCCCACCTAGCCTCCTTTCCTCAACTCTGAACTCCAGCACCTGTGCCCCAACATGGGTCAAGTGCCTGGGACATGGCCATTGCTGTGGGGCATGTTCTGGGCAGGGGCGTGCTGGGTGTTCCCACTTTCGCACATCCTTCCCCCCTCCCTTGAGTTAGGCATGTGACTTCATGAGGGAGGGAGGGAGGCCCACAGTCCCTGACCCAGGCCACACCCAGACAGCCCAGGATCAGGAGCGGGAAACTATCCCTTGCCAGATGTTAGAGGAGCTGCTCCTGTCGTTAGGAACACCACGGACGTCCACAGGGCACACTGGGCCGTGCAGGGTGCTCCCAGCTCAGGCAGTCAAGGCTCTTGTGGGGTGCAGTCAAGGCTCTGGTGGCCCGTCGGGCCCATTTAGAAAGCCGACCTTCCAAACTTCTGCTTAGAAGCCTGTCGACACCGCGGGACCCTCGGTCAGAAGCTCGGGTGGTGACTGATTCCCCGAAGACGAGGCACTGGTCAGATAGTCTTGAGCAGCCCAGGAATGCGAGGTCCTGGTGGGCACACCCACTCCCGCAGAGCCGGGGGAGCTGGAAGGAGGAAGTGAGAGCGGGGAGGGGCGCGGTCGCCACCGTCCATGGGGTCGGGGCCTGGGTGGGAGTGCCAGGCAGGGCCAGGCCCCGTCGGGTCTGATGGAGAGTGTGGGGAGCAGAAGGCTCCCGCGACCACCCACCTTACAGCTGGGGCGTGCGCCCGCCAGGCAGGTCACCTGGGGAGCCGGGGGTCAAGGTCGGGGCGAGCCGGACTCGGGCGGGGCCGGGCTATGGGCGGGGCCGGGCTCCGGGGGCGGGGGCGGGGCCGGGCCAGCGCGGGCTGCGGCGCCGGAACGCAGGGGCAGCAGTGAGCGCCCGGCAGTGTCAGCGCCACCATGGGGCAGATCGAGTGGGCCATGTGGGCCAACGAGCAGGCGCTGGCGTCCGGCCTGAGTGAGTGCGCGGCCCGCGGGGCTGGTAGGGGCTGGCAGGGCCTGGGGCGAGTGGGGCGAGACCCCGGACTGCGGCCCGGCAGTGGGGGCTGGAGCCTGGGTGGGAACCTCAAGACTTTAGCCGGGACCTCGGCTGCAGGGCGGGCGAGTGGGGGGCCCAAGGCGGGCTGCGTTCGGGGGTCGGACAGACTGCGGGGCGCGGGGGTGGGGTTCAGAGACCCTCTGCGGCATGCCGCCGTGTCCCGCCGCTGTAGACCCGTTCGGATCACGGGGCCTCCGCCTTCCCCTGCGCCCCCGCCCCCCCCAGCTGTGCCCCCTGAACTTCCCCACCCACCGCCCGGACGGACCTCCGCGGAGGAGGAAGTTGCAGCCCAGGAGCGGAGGCGTTTCGGCCCGGTGGTTTCCGGGGAGTCACCGCCCTGCCCGGTTGGGAAAACCCGGCTGGATGACCCATCCCCGCAGCCCCCTCCTTCCCTGGAGTGGGGGTCTCCCCTCCCCCGGACCCAGTCGAGCTAGGCTCGCTTCCCCGACGTCCTGGAGTGGGGAGGTGAGCTCCTCCCATGGGGGGACAGCCCTCTCCATCTGTGGGCCAGCCCCCAGCCTGCACAGGAGGTCTAGAATTTCACAAAGTGGCTGGAAACCACCCAGAGCGACAGCCCTGCCCAGACGCTTTTCTTTGGGAGCAGGATGGCACGGCCCCCAAGTCACCCTGCCATGCAGCTGCTCAGGGGCCCTGGTGAGGGGCAGTGGGTCTTTGTCCCTGCGCTGTTATTTGGGAGCAGAATCCTCTCAGAACTAGGGTGGGGGAAGTATGGGGCTCAGGAGGGGTGAGGCTGGGCCCCTCCACCCCAGGAAGGACTTGCAGCCAGTGGATGGGAGGAACTGGGGGTGACAAGGAGGGTCCCAGCCACTGCCACTCATCTGGAGCCCTGTGAGTGCCCTGCCCCACCCCCACCCTACCTCCAACACCCACATGGGTCAGCTGTAGACAGTGAGCAAAAAGGGTGAGGGGTGGGAGCAGAGAGAGAGGAAATCTCCGACCCGCACTTTATTTGGGGTCCTACAGGCTCTGCAGCTGGGGCCCTGCAGTTTGTGTCCTGGTGGGCCACCTCCCTTTCTGAGTCTGAGTGGCTTATAGCTGGGCGGGTCAGTTTAGACAGTTCTCCCACCTCTCCCCGGAGGTGACCCATGGGACTGTCACCCTGTCTGCCACATGGGCTATGCCCTACAGACCAGCCTGGCGTCCTCCTTCCTCCCAAAACTCCCCAAGCTCCCTCCAGGAAGCAGAGGGTGACAGAGGGCACCCAGCTGGGACCTGGGAGACCTGGACTCTGGTCCTCATCGGTTCAGGCAGCGACTGTCTGGTGCCCTGTCTGTCTCATGCCCACTGTGAGCAGGTTTTACAGTCCTTGCCTCGGCTAAGTCCACAGCGCCACAAGGCGGGTATTGTTCTCATGTCCAGTTTAAGTCAGTGCAGTGGAAACGTAGAGAAGTTGCAGCTGTGGCTCAGTTTCCCACATTAAAAGAGACGGCTTGTGGAAGGTCTCCCAGTGCCGTCTGCTGACTTTCCTTTGTGCCTTCATAAGCTACAGCCATCTGGGATTGCGCGGTCCTGTTTGGGACCTACTAGCATCGCATCCAGGAGTCTTCTTTATTATCACAGAAAATCCCAATTAATCAGACCCCCTCCCCGCTATGCTCAAAACCATCCCATGGCTTCCTGTTGCAAAGAATAAAAGCCAGATTCTGCTGCTCTGGCCCCTGCCCACCCTAGGCCCCTGTCGATACTCCGCACTCCACAGCACAGGCTTCCTTTCTGCTCCGGGAGCTCCTGCGCATGCCCCAGGGCCTTTGCAGAAGCCATTTCTTTGGCAAAGCATCTATGGCTGGTTCCTCCATTTCTCAACTCGGAGGTCACATGCTGGGAGATGTGTTTCCGGAGCATCCAACCTAAAGTACCCTGGTCACTGTCTGTCACGGTCCCCTGTTCTAATCCCCACCATCTGTTCGTTTCTGCCTCCTCTCATGAGACCACAAGCCCCAGGAGAGCAGAGCCTTATCTGTCTTGTCCCCCGCTGAGTCCCTGGCACCTGCGAAGAGTTCCTGCACATAACATGTGCACTATAAATGTGTGTGGGATGCTGGCATGAGTCCTCTGGCCTCCCTGGTGGAGCCACTGGTGTCTTGGCCTCCTCCTGCTGACAGCAGGCAGCAGAACTGAGGTGCAAGAGAGAGACATGACACCCCCAAAGACGAGCGGACAGCATGCTGGGTGAGTGCATGAGGAAGCCGACCTTCCCTCCTCCAACACACATAAACCAAGTGCTGATGTGCACACTGAAAAGTTAATATACAGCTGATCTCAAAACCCAGGATGAGAGATCTGCAGGGAACAAACACAGTGAGGTTTCAAGGTAGTGAGCAAAGGCTGAAGTCTACAGACACTCAGGAGAATGAGACCCAGCTTTCACCCAGTGGGATTTCAGGGTCTCTCTGTGTTAAAGGAGCTGAAACTGAACTACATGCGTGAAGCTGGTGTTGGGAGGTGCTGCCTGTATAGAAGGCAGACTGGAAACCATTCCCTCCAGCCACCGCAAGCAGCAAGGAAGCTGGTTACCTGCTACCAGGGCTCTGGATGAAAAAAGTCATGCAAAAGAAAAACTCAGGAAACCCAGGCTTGTGATGTGCAGGGTGTGAGGACTGGCTTTATGTTACCTTTGTGGTAAAGAACCACTGATCAAGAAATTGAGATAAACTAGATTCAGGACTGAAGAAAACCATAGGCCCCCAGCAGAGGCAAATGTGAAACTGTTGTGTAAGAGCATTTCCTCCATCAGCACATGTGGACGCCACAGGGAGACACGCTGCTGGGCACGAGCTCTCAAGCACACTTACGGATTGAGGAAGTGAGCCATTGAGGGACAATCAGCAGACACCGCAGGCGGGAGGGTGCCCATCCTCAGAAGAAGATCTCCCAGCACCATTTGAAAGAGGGGGATAACAGCAACCCCAGGCACTGCGCAAAGCACATCACATCTCTCTAAATTCTTCCAAAGACCCTGTGACATGGGCTTTATTCTCCCCACTTTATAGATGTGTAAACTGAGACTCAGAGAGATGAGGTCACTTGCCTGAGGCCACACAGCTAGTGAGCAGCAGAGATGAAACTAAGATTATTATTATTTTTTTTTTTTAAAAGATGACCGGTAAGGGGATCTTAACCCTCGACTTGGTGTTGTCAGCACCACGCTCAGCCAGTGAGCGAACCGGCCATCCCTATATGGGATCCGAACCCGTGGCCTTGGTGTTATCAAGCACCGCACTCTACTCAGCCAGTGAGCGAACCAGCCATCCCTATATGGGATCCGAACCCGTGGCCTTGGTGTTATCAAGCACCGCACTCTACCGAGTGAGCCACAGGCCGGCCCCAGAATAAACATGTTTAAAGTGTTCACGGAGATGAAGGAATGGAAACTTATGTAGCTAAAACAGGACAATGCAAAAAGTGAATTAATGTAGAATGTCAACAAATAAAAAATATAGAAAGTCATTAAAGGGAGGGTTAGCCGGTTGGCTCAGTTTGTTAGAGCGCAGCCTTGTGATACCAAGGCCAAGAGTTTGGATCCCTGTACCGGCCACGTGGAATGCAGCCCAAAGGGATAAAGAGGTGGGAATTATTAAATAGAAGTTGAGTTATGTACAATAGTTGGAGAAGACCTGGCATATGTATAATAGAAGTTCCAGAAAAGAGAATCGATAGAATGAAGGGAGGCAATATAGAAGGGATAATGGATGAGCATTTCCAAGAAATGAAGAAATCTCAGGTTGAAGGATAAAACAAAGTCCTTTACATGACAAATGAAAGTGAGTCTCTTACTTGGACACACTGAAGTGAAATCACACATCATTAAAAAAAATCTTAAAAGCTACCAGAGGAAAAATGGATTAGTACTAGACCGCAGACTTATCATCATCAGTAATGGATGCCAGATGACAATGAAATCATATATCTTAGGTGCTGAGAGAAAAACATGTCTGTCTAGAATTCAGTATCCAGATGAACTGTCATTGAAGAATGAGGGCATTTTCAGGTGTAGGTAGAGTTGCTGCTAACAGACCCTCACTGAAATGATTACTAAAGGATGTACTTCAGCAGGAGGGAAACTGAATCCAGAAGAACTGGGGTGCAAGAATGAAAATGCTGTAAATATTGTCTGTAAATAATCATAATGAGTAATTTGGGGGTGAGATTCGAGTTAAACATTTTTTTTTTCCTTTTTGTCTTTTTTCGTGTCCGGCAACGGATCGCAACCCTCAGTGTCGTGCCCGTACCGGACCGGGACCAGCAACGGGATCGCAACCCTCGGTGTTGCCCCTGCACCTCGCTCAGCCAGTGAGCGGCCGGTCTGTATGTGGGATTCGAACCCTCGGCGGGAGCGCCGGCGCGCTCCCAAGCGGCACACTGTAGCAGTGCGCCACCGGGCTGGCCCAGAGAGTTAAACATTTTAAAGTCCATATGTGACTCAGGAAGAGGGGATTTTTTTTTTTCTTTTTGTCTTTTTTTGTGACTGGTAACGGGATTGCAACCCTTGGTGTCGC